TACTTATAGTGTACCTACTGTGTTGGTGTTCCCATAAAGCTTGCCTCTGACATCACCATGGGTGTTTTTTCCTGATGGTTATATTCAGGGCCTTTCCCGAACTAGGTGTGGAATGAGGTGTTTATAGATGGAGGTGAGCAGCTCACACAGAGTGCTCTGCAGCTGCCGCTGCTGCCTGGGGCACAGGGGGCTTCCTCTGGGCCCTAGACGAAAGCTAGTATAGGAGGACCCCAAGCTGACTCATGTGCCATCTTCACAGTTCCCAGGGCTGCACACAAGAGTAGAACACTCAGATTTTTGTTTTGATGTTTTGTGGCCATGTTGAAGCTGAACAAAAAAATATTTGGAGTTGTGATTTCTAGAAAGGATTGAATATTTTTTTTTTAATTTCGGTTGTTTATTTTTCATTTCAATGAACATCTACAGAGATTTTGGGATTCCATTCATTCATTGTTGCACCCTTCTCCCCGCACAAACCCCTCCCCCCCCCCCCACATTTGCTCCTCTCCTTGAAAAGCAAAAGAAAAACTCACTCATTGGTACACAATCTCCCCCCCCCCCGCACCTCCCCAAACCCCACCCCCTACCCCCAAATATAATCCACTCTGCAGGGATTGAATATTTTTACTAAAGAAGAGATACAGACAAACAACCTCTGAAGGCAAAATCTCAGCTTCTCCAGCTTTATAGAGTTTGATTGTGTCTATTTGTCTCCACAGACTTGCTTTGTTGTTTGATAGTAGAATGCTAAATCCAGTTTACATCTCAAACCTTAAGAAGAGGCCTACATGATACATGGCATTCATTTTACCTTCAAATTTAAACTGCCATGAAATGAAATTAAATTAAAAAAAACCCTACCATTAAGTCAGTTCCAATTCATTGCCACCTTCAATTATGTTTTCCAAGGCTCTAACTGCAATGGGAGAAAAACACCCATTTTCTTTCATGGTTTTAAAGTGTCAGAGATGCACAGTGTTTGAGTTAACATAGCAACTTGCTATGGACTATACCCCAAGAGTTCCCTCATATTGCCTTAACCTATAGAGTAATTATAATGTTTGTTTCTAGTAAGGGACTAAAGAATAAAAAGGTGTCTCATTGTCCTTGTCCTGAATTAGCACAAAGGATATTGCTGGCAGAGAGGGATATGGTCTTAGTCATCTAACTGGGGCATTGCACGCCCTAAGTAATTATTTGCCTTAGGATCAGAAAATCATGGCATATATTCATATTTGTTGCATGTTATAGTAATGGAGTCTCTGATTAGCACAGTTGATTTAGTGCTGAAGTGCTGACTGAAAGACTGGCAGTTCAAACCCACCCAGAAACCACTTGAAAGAAAGCTCTGGATAACTACTTCCAAAAGGTTACAGCTTTGAAACCCTACAGGACAATTCTGCTCTGCACGTGTGGGGTTGCTGTGAGTTGGGATTGACTCAACAGCAATTAGCAAGAACTACCGTAGTTAAAAGTAATCGTTTCATAGGCTGGGCTTTGAACTCTAAGAATAAATAAAATTAACTTTTGGATAATGTATGTAGAGGGAATTAATCTAAAGAGACACTGTCCAGAGTTAAGGAAATAGGCTTCTAAATAAGAATTAATTTGTCAAACATCTCCCAGTTTTCCTTACATGAGTCACAAGTGTCACCTTAATCAGATGAGCCTCTTCCAAAGTGTACCCTTTTTGACAGTGTGACAGGAAACTTCTGAAGTGGCTACATTTTTAGCTCAATTGACCTGCTTGATTCCAGAACAGATAAACATACGGGGTTGTGCTGCCAATCCAGAGGCACACAGTTTAATTCCACCAGCTGCTCTGCAGAATAAAATGGGAAATCTCCTCCCGTGCAATTTACTGCCTCTGAAAACCCACTGGAGGGTCATCTATGGGGTGGTTCTCACTTGATAATTCTCACCAACCACCACCATAGACAATTTTAAAGGATACCTGAAAAAAACTATGAAGTTCTAGCTTAGATATATCTTTAAACATTCGGTAAAGCATCAGGATATTACAATTATTGTAATTGCATTTTCTTTTTCTATTCCAATTAGAATAAAATTATTACTAAAATTATTATATAAGCATAGGGTATAAGGATACCCTTTGTTTAGCTTTTGTTTCTACTTGTCTTCTAAAACCAAGCCCTTGCATAATATATATTTTTTCCACAAAAGGCACTGGTGAGGGGTGAATAAATTGAGCCTATCTATCTTCCACCCTTACCCATCTCTAACCGTATTTCTTAACTATATTTTCCAACAAGAGATACAAGAAAAATATGAGAAACTACAAGTATAGTCTAATTCCCTGAAGTCCAATACTGTTCATATATAAAAAACTGTGGTTTCCATTTATGAAACATATAAATTATAAGAAAATATACTGACAAAGTAATTTCCCTGGCTCAGGTCATTGTGTATTCAGATAAATCTGCAGCTGAAGTAACACAATTTCATATTCAGGGAATTAGAGGAATGGGGGGTTAGCCCATGCCCTGTCTAAGCAAGAGAAAATTTCACAGCCTCTTGCCAGGTTTGTCAGTATATACACATTCACAGAAGGTTGAACATTTACTCAATTTTTGGAACCAGTGTTTTTTACTCTTAGGGGAAACACACTGGCTAACTTGTTAGAAAGGGTTTCTTAGGGACACCTGGAACTACTCCTCACACATGTTCTTTCAGAAGCAAAGGAAGGTGGCCGTGTTAATGGAGAGAAATCCCACCAGACTTAACCACAGATGGAAGGGAGCCTAGTTCCCCAGAAGGTACCACCTCACTGGAGGTGAAGGAGGCCCCAACAGAGACCTGGTCACTAGAGTGTGTTCGTGAGACCTCAAAACAAAACAAACCTAAAGAGTAGGATACTTTCAGGAAATATTGGACTAAAAACTACTGTCAGAATGAGTAAAAACACAATTCAGTATTAAATGTTTACAAGGTGTTGGTGGTCGTGTACCATCAAGTTGCTCCCCCTCCAGCGGGTTTTCAGATGCAGTGTGAATCACAAGGGAGAGATTGTCCATTTCACTCCTGCAGAGGAGCTGGTCGACTTGAAGAACCTGCCTCTGGGATTGCAGTGCAGCTTCTTACCTGTAGGCCACCAGTGCTCCCATGGCTACAAAGGATCTCCATGCTAAATTGCCCTGTCAAGAGAAATTTCTCCAGTTGAGTTGAAGAACTGGGGGCCTTTTGTGAAGAATTATCTGCCTTCACTGTAGAAACCCCAGGAGGCCTGACCCGAGTTTTCCTTCTCCAGAGGACAAACTTGGGTGGTAATAGGATTTTAGAAAGGCTTGAGTCCAAGACCCAAAGCTAAACCTAGTATCTCATTTCATAAAGATCCTCCGATCTGTGGGCAGACTAAAAATTCATCCAAAATGAACACCTTGCCCACATTCAGATCCTCTTTCCCAAGGTCCAATCTGGACCCAAGCTTGCTTGATCCAAGCTGGCCATCCAGGGAGAGGAAAAGAGACAAATGGCATTTTTTCAGAGTGCATTCTCTTTTAGGTCTGGCTTATTTTCAACTTGATTGGTCTGCAGGCTTTTCACAAAGTTAAAATAAGTTGATGATCATTTATACCCGTTCTCCAAACATTGTTCACTTATGTAATCACTCATTGATAAGGAGTCAGAACTGAACCATAGCCAACCTCCCATTGGATTCCCAAGGCTGTAAATCACACTGGAGGAGAGTGGCCATTTTCCTGCTGTAGAGCTCCTGGTGGATTTGAACTGCCAAAGAGGTATGGCCTTTGGATTACCAGCTCAACTCACTACAAACTACCACCAGAGCCCTCTTTGTTAAACTACAGCTTTAAGGAATACAGATAATTCATCCTAGATTCTCAACATTAATGATGGTAAGTTATGTTTTCATTAACTGAGGTCATTCAAGGATAACTTCTCTCTCAAATATGAGGAAGCCAGATAAACAACTAGAGTTTAATGATGGACTTCAGATTTTAAGTTAATTCTGAAATAATTTCTATTTGGAAAGGCTTTAAACTTTTTTCGCCTTGGTGAACATATATTCACAGTGGAGTCCTCCTCATGAGTAGAGTATCAGGTGCTGCAGTTAAGGTTGACTTCAGAAGCACAATCCCTCATTGCTGTAGATTCAGAGCCAACTCATAACTAACCCTGCATTGGCTTTCCAGGGCTATAAATCACACTGGAGGAGATTGTCCATCTTCTTCCAGAGGAGCCCCTGGTGAATTTGAACCACCACGGAGGCATGGCCTTTGGTTTACCAGCTCAAACCCCTACAGAATACACTCCCAAAGCTTCCTCCAACATGCACAGTGTTTAAAAAAAACCCCAAAAACCCAGGGGACTAGGATGTGGGCAGTGTCTGAGCGGTATAAGTGATTAAACATTTGAACCCAACCAAAGGCAAAGTATATGTAATAGTTTAAGAATACAGACTGTCGACAACATCCACTTTGCCAGAGTTAAAAGCAGCCATGGTGACCAGGCACCCAATGTGGCCAAATCCGTTTGCTCAGACCTTCACCATCATGTCTCAGGGATATGGCTGAGGCTGCACAAGAAGAGAGGGCAATCTGGATCGACGAGGAGCAGAGAGCCGACTCAACACTTCTTTTAACTTGTCTGCTACTAATCTTCACAGAACAAATTTAGAATACATATTATATAGAATTAAAAAAAAAAAAAGAATACAGATTGTCAAGCTTGAGTTTGCCTACTATTTCCACACTGGTGACATTGGGGAAGTTGTCTAACCTATTGTGCCTCAGTTTCTCCCTTATGTGCAGTGGAGCTGGTATTCATACGTACACACAGAATTGTCATGATGATGTAATGAGTCCATATGCGTAAAGCTCTTAGAGATGGTCTGGCTCACGTTAAGTGAACTGTGCATTGTTATTCACAGTGGTGTGGCAGTCGTAGACGGTGTTGGGACTAAACAGTAAATTGCACTAACTTGGTGACGTTGGTTTAATTCTCTGCTCTCCCTTTAACAGGAAAATGGCAGATGGATGACAGTGGGTTACTGAACATCACCAAGGTGTCTTTTTCAGACCGAGGTAAATACACGTGCGTCGCTTCTAACATCTATGGCACTGTGAACAACACAGTGACCCTGAGAGTCATCTTCACCTCGGGAGACATGGGTGTCTACTACATGGTCGTCTGCCTTGTGGCCTTTACCATCGTCATGGTCCTCAACATTACCCGCCTGTGCATGATGAGCAGCCACCTAAAAAAGACCGAGAAAGCCATCAACGAGTTCTTTAGGACAGAAGGTGCAGAGAAGCTGCAAAAGGCGTTCGAGATCGCCAAGAGGATCCCCATCATCACCTCAGCCAAAACATTAGAACTTGCCAAAGTCACTCAGTTCAAAACCATGGAATTCGCCCGCTATATTGAAGAGCTGGCCAGGAGTGTGCCTCTGCCTCCTCTCATTATGAACTGCAGGACGATTATGGAGGAAATCATGGAAGTGGTTGGGCTGGAGGAACAGGGACAGAACTTTGTGAGGCATACCCCGGAAGGCCAGGAGGCCCCAGACAGGCATGAGGTTTATACAATCCCCAACTCTCTGAAGCAAAGCGACTCGCCCACCACCGACTCGCCCACCACCGACTCGGATGCCTCATCCCTGCACGAACAACCTCAGCAGATTGCCATCAAGGTGTCTGTCCACCCCCAGTCCAAAAAAGATCACATGGAAGACCAAGAGGGTGGGCAGATTGAAGTCAAAGATGAAGAGGAGACTGAACCGTCAGCCGAACATTCCCCAGAAACTGCAGAACCTTCCACAGACATCACCTCCACGGAGCTAACTTCTGAAGAACCGACACCTGTGGAGGCGTCAGATAAAGCGCTGCCCCTGGCTCACCCAGAAGCTGCAGAGCCACCGGTGGCGCAAGACAAAAACATCTGCGTTATTTATGAAAGCCATGTCTAATCTCAACTCTGAAAAGCTATGCATATCAAGAAAATCAGGGGCTGCTCCTTGTAATAACAGATGTAGTTCGCACTTGCCGCTAAGCCTTACCAGGAGACGCTCATCCCGTAGATAGGAGTGATGCTGTGTGAAAAGGGAGAACACCTGTGTGCCGTTTATATGACTGGAATTTCCCCAGTTAGTGAAGGAGATGAGAAACACCAGGGTACACGATCGGTCATGCCGACAGAAGGTGTGTGTTCATGCAACGATCTTAGAGGCTAGTTTCTGCCAGATTCCTTAATTGGCAATGCCCTTTTTTTTGGCAAAGAGTACACTGCTGTAAGATGTTCTGAGTCCAAGAGTTCTGTCCAGTGCACACTACATTGCTTTTCCTTTTAAAAGCATTAAGTCTCCTGCGTTAGCAAATGCACGTTCATGGGTTTGTTGCACTTTCTTCTCAATTTTAATTACTTTCAAGGTCCTTTCATACTGGAGTAGTTGTTATTATATTAATATTAATTGCTCTTTCTTGCTTAGTCAATTTTGTCCTTATTTTGCCCTAAAACATTTACCTCATAGACTTTGCTTTCAGTCACCCAGTGCCAGGGCTGAAAGCAACAAGTTATTTGTAATGATCCAACATAGTCACTCACTAGACTTTATTATTTTTTTTTCTTATTTTGTTTCCCAGGCCTATTTTCATACATTGCTTTTTGTGTTTATGTTTCCAATGAAGCTGCTATTTTGAAACTGAGAAAAAAAAAATCCCCTCCCCCTAGGAAATAGCACTTTAAATAGCCAAATAAAAACGTGTTTACTTGTCCAGTTCTGGGAGCCTTTTGGTGAGCTAAGCCAAGGTGTAGAAGTGAATTGTGAAAGAGGTTGTATACCTATATAAACCATGAGGACTGCTGTTTACATTTAAGGAACATCATCCTCTAAACAAAGATGATTGATTCTTTATTTACCTGGAAAATTTGCTTCCAAAGCCAGAGGAGTTTGAGTTCCTGTAAGCTGTAGCATATTGGCTTCCCAGAAGGGCTTGTTGGGACCATGTGCCGTTGAGGGACTCATACGTTGATTTGAAAAGAAGATAAAAGGGTCTTTGAAGTTGAATAACAGGCCCACTTTCTGTGAACTATGAGGCTGACTAGGTCCATGAAGATCAGAGAGTGAAGGATTAGAGTGATGGCATAAGCAGCCATCAAGTTTCATACCAAAATTATTGAATTATTATCCAGCCCGATAGGAAAGTCATTATATCAAGGCAGAATGGTTTTGTAGAAAGATGACAAAACCACTCATGGAAAGGCTTAAATCCTTAACCGACTGTGCCAATAAGCAGCTGCCTGGCTGAGGGTAACTCTGGGTCTCAGTTTCCTCATCTGTAAGAGAGGACAGGATAGGTGAGCAGTGAGCATTGATTAAATGACCTCACTCGCTCCCAGAACCAAACTAACTCTTACAGCATCCTTGCTCTTTTTTTCTAGTTACTTTAAAGATGTTCACCAAACCCTTTCATGTGGTATTAAGTAGAAAACATACATTTCAAAAAATTATAGTATTTTAATTGTGACTTCACCATGACCACAACCCGCCCCCCCAAAAATCATTAGGACCACTTCTAAAAGCTAGAAGAATGAATGTTGAGAAGTAGTTATACTTCATTTTCACTTATGATCAGGAACTAGAATAGCCTTATATTAGTGGTAAGGATTGTGGCCACAGGAAGTGATGAATTATGGTGGACGTTACAAAGAGCACTTTGATAAATGCGAAAGTAGACCCAGATGTGTCGTCTTTACTCAGGCACTATCCGTGTGAGTGACCTTGGACAGCTCCCTTTATTCTGTCTGATTTTTATTTAATCTCTGTTAATGGGCCACAAAATCCCTTCTAGCTCAAACATTCAAGTTTTATGGAAAACTTGAAATGTCTCATAATGGCCTCCACTGTGAGACAAGCATTTCTGGGAACAAAGACAGATCCACAATGTGCTTATTGTCCAAAATCTTACAGAAGAGCTATCTGGTTCTGTCATTTAGGAGACTGCATTGCTCTTTAGAGACGGCCTAAGTGGATTTCCTTATTTACAGATAACTGGTGTGACCGGCAATCTCACAGACATGGAAGTTGATTAGACTTCCTTGAGAGGTAACTGTTGGCTTCAGTTAGACTTGACTTTGATGATCATGTAAAGAAATTATAAGAGCAGTAAAGAGAAATTGTGGCTCCTCTTTGGGCTCTTCAGGACTAGGATTGCATGTATTTGGGTTACAGGAAAATTTTTATCTCCAGCTTATAAAAGTTCTTCCAGTGTGGCAAAGGCCAGCAAATTTTTATGATAGATCTGTACATCCAACAGCCACAAGGACTTCAGAAGCTCATTTTGTGATGTTATATGTACTTTACCCTGTTCTGTTTTATTCTCATTCCACCCAAGCCCATGTACAGAGCTCTCCAGAAAACAAGTGTGTATAGGCATTTGTCCTCTCTATACTTGGAGTAGAGGGAAATACTAAACTGAAATGAGCATCTCTTAAATGAAGCAGGAGTGAGATATGACCAAAGAATGTCTCCAGTTTGCTTTTAGCTTCTGTAGACCGAGGTACGAGAAGGAGACAGAGATTTTTCAAAACATTCTCCCTCCTTAAGGCATCAAAATGCTCTCACTATAACAGCCAACTAAAAGAGAGATTGGCTAATAGAGGTAATTTCTGCTTCCAGAAATTCTATGCCCTTCCTTTCCATCCTTTAGCTTCTTTTAAAAACAAGAATGACCTTCCTGCAGAATATGAAATGCAGAAGACCTTGTGACTTTCAGCTAAATTTTTTAAGATAAAGTGAATTATTTAGCTTTGTAGAATTTCATAGATGTATGGCTGTAGTGTGTATGTGTGTGTGTGTGTTTGCCTGCATGTTTATGTGTGTATGACTTATTTGGAAAGTTTTAAATGCTTAACACTAAATTAATCCCAATCTATGTCCTTTGACTTGAATGATGTCATTCTTAAGAAAATCAAAGTTTCTTGTTCTGTGTCATCCTGGTTGTATCTTTAGAATTTTGTTTGGGTTTTTTTTTCCCCCCTTGAAATTCTGAAAGTTGATTCAGCTATGTGTGCATATTTGATTCACTAACATTATCTGTAAGGTTGGATGGTATTTATTCTAAATGGAAAAATATAGAATTTTATACTGAAAATCTATGTAATTTATAATGGCTTTGTTTTATATATTATATTTTCATATCTTTAGGGCGCATTGACTTTTCTCATCTTTTTGTATACCATAACCTGGCAAAAAGAAATACTGATACTTGACTAAAATCTCTAGGAACCAAATGTGATATGTAACATATAGAAATCTCTGAAAATACCTGAATGTTCTCATGCATCGCAAATGTTGTTGTACTCTGTCGTTACATCCATCAGGATTTGTCTCAGATGCTTAGGAGAATTCATTTATCAAGGCAAAGGCTAAATTTCAAGGTGTAACAGCCCACACAGTGGGTGGGTTCTGTAATCTCCTTCCCCACTTTATCCTTTTGTTTATTTCAGTTTTAATTGTAGAGGCTTGCAATTTAAACTTCCCTTCGAAGGGCAAATGTGAAAGAACAAGAAAGCCACTTTACAGGCAGACGAAATTTAATTCTAGCTTTGTATATTATTTTAAAAGACTGATAACATGCCTGGGGTTGTTACTTATTGGTGATGTTGGATCTCTGCTTGATTCTTTAGCATACTCTATGGAGAAAATGTCAAGGTACAAAGAAATTTGCATGTTCTTGTCAAGAACACTGTCAATATTGTGTACCCCACACAGATCAACTTAATTTTAAACAAACCATTCCCAGCCACTGGAGAAACATTTTAGAAAGGCAAATCCGATGGCTTCTGTTACACAGATCGAGATTGGGTATTGTGTTAGTGCTGAGAGTCTTAAAAGGCTATCTGTACCATTCTGTTAACTAGAAGGCTTTTTCCCCTCACTATGTCATCTACTCTTCTGTACTTTACATATCTTTTTTGGCAATCCCTTAGGATTGTAAACCCTGTTTCTATTCATGATACTAATTTAGACAAATTTATTGATAATATTCAAGTATCTACAAAACCTCTTTATATATTCACACATTTTGAGCACCTCTTTCTGATAGTAATCATTTTGGCATTGATTATTCTTTTAAACATCCTTCATGAGATCACAAAGTTTATTTTCCTAATGACTTTTTTTAGGGTCACCTCAGTGATGTACTAGATTTGAATTTAAAAAGCCAATGGTGGGGGAAGAAAAATCAAATGCAATAGAATTGCTGATTGTATTTTCCAAAGGACCAAGTGTTTGCATAGTATAAATGAAAATATATGAAGGTGATGATGATATATATTTAAGATTTTCATAGAGACAGAATTTATAAAGGGGCAAATACAAATAATACTACAATCAAGATTGAAGCTAGAAAATGTGACAATAAAAAGCAAATAGTTCTAAGAATATTCTAACATAAACTAATTTTTTTTTTTTGCTACTAATAGACATGTCTCTCAGATACCACAAAGCTGCCAACAGTGAGTTAGGGTCAAAGTAGATGCTTGCTTTTTCGCTTGGTTTGCTATATTTCAGTAGTTCTGAGCATCCTTTGTTAAAATAGGAAAATAAAATGAAAAAAAAATTATCGGGGAAGAAATGTCAAGCTGATGATTGTTGTGAACTATAAAATGTTCACTTTTAAAAAGTAAAGATGTAAACAAATGACTAATATTTAAGTTGTTCTTAAAGTAGTAAAACACAAAACCATGTGATCCATCCTGTTTTTGATTGTTACCTTAATAAAGGATTTGCACAGGTGTGCAAAATGTATATTGTGTGTAGAATGAGTTTCATTTCAACTGAAGGATGTGTAATTGTGGCTTGATATGGAATCTATATGCAATTCTTCTCCTGCCTGTGGTGGTGGTAGTGGTGATGTGCCATTGAGTCGCTTGTGACTCACAGCAACCCTATATACAGTAGCCCTGA